CAGACTCCAAGCGATCATACCGAGGCCTATCTCTTGCGCGATGGCCATCCACCCGACGTTGCGCCCTCAATCGAATGCCCAGGGAACTTTGTCCCCGCAGCAAACCCGGGCAATATCGGCTTGGTCTGAACAGGCGGCTGCGCATCTGGAAACCCTGACCATCTCGGATTCCGTTCCTGCGGCCGACCAGCATTGTGCTGGTCCTGAGTCCCCTTCCACGCGCGGCGCCTTGCGAGGGACCACAGTTACACTATCAATCCCACTAGATGACCCGGTCCCCAGCACGGGGAATGCATCGGCTCCGAGGGTCAAACTCTTGGGCCAGACTTCTACCCAGGCACCGCAGGTCCCTTCGGTCAGTTTCCGGCGTCGAGAACCACTCCGTCGTGATAGTCTGAAGAGGCGCGAGGCGTTGTTGAAGGGCAAGGATGGAAGTCGTCGCCGGCAACGCTGGGAGAATGGTACGTCTTGACCGACTACGCTTTTTTAAGAGTCGCTCTACGCGACTTTATGCACCTCGGATCCCGGGTGGCGAGTGTCTTCGACAGTGTTGTACTGACGGGCCCTTTCACAAAAGATCGCCTCCTAAACAATCCTTGGGCCGAACCACCATCTTCCAGGGACTGGGCTATAGAGCCAACGTACACCCGACACGACCCGATGCCTTACTACCTCGCTCCTCTCTGGGACGTCCATTACAAGCACATAGATCACACCTCGTCGAAGCAGACTGCAAAGGGCACAAAGGGTGAGAAGCATCGTGTTCCGAAGGACCTCCGCCTCAGGCTGAAGCATGCGCGTGCTGCACGGGGCATGCTTCAGGATATCGAGGAGGATATCCGACAGTTCATCCAGAGATGGGGCGAGAAGCAGCTCTTGCTTGAGAGGGATGGTCTGACAGATGCGCCAGCATCGTCTGACGAGGACTCTGAGGACGAGGTTGTATTTGTGGGAAGAAATGGACAAATGCACGACTCCCCTGAACGCAAGCAAAAGCTGCAGCAAATGCGGGAGGCTATGCATGCCAATAGAGAACGGGGTGGGGAGAAGTTGGTCTTTGAGAGCCTCGTAGATGATCGGGCCTCTGGATTTGGGTACGTTTTACCTTTGGCTCTTGCACTTATGGGCCAACGCTTACCGGTCCATTATGTTAGTCGCTGGCTCGTCCATTCCATTGCTTCATACTACGGCTTACATACGTGGTCCGTCACTGTGGGGGAACCCGCCCGCCGCGAGGCATACGTTGGGTTCTATCCTCCGGCTCCGGGAAGTCGCGCTGGGCTTGTAACCCAGCCTGCTTGCCATCAGGAGGCGATGATCCAACCGGGCGACGCTCTGCCGCAGCCTCTGTGGGCGCAGGTATGAGCTTGTAGGGCCGAATGCCCTCCTTTCATTGTAGCTTTTTTCGATTCCTATTACTGGTAAATGATCGGCGTTGCCTTGGATAATCCAGGCTTAGAGATTGGGGTTCGGACTTAGCGGGTTGTACCTAAATGCGGTTTGGGTGTAAGGTAGTAGACAAATCGACGTCGATCTGTCATTGGAGATCTGTTCCTGCCCTGGGGATATATGACTATTCGATATCACTTAGTAGCCATCAACCAGCACTCTCCCCGCCCCATATGGCTGGGTGTCCTCTGTGCCTGGCCGAAGCTACTGTTTTTAGGAAGCTCTCTTATCTAATGCTCACGACATGGGGTGCCAGGATAATCCTTTGGTCCGTCACCGACATGCTCCGGTATATGGGATGGCCCATCCCACTCCATCTTGTGCTCTGTGTTTGCACCGTATCTGTTTAGCTGTGACAGCTATGGTGCGCATCTAGATGCGCATGGTATTCTTCAGTGCAAGTCGGGGTGTGGTCATGCGGTCTATCCTGGGTACAGACCTTATGCCCTGAAACTTTGCTAAATTTCATGGATGATTGTCGGTAAATCGTAAGCGTGGGTTCAGCTTGGGTCTATCTCTAAGGTAATATAACATCTGTATAGAAGTTTATGCCGGGAAGGCGAATAGAAGAGTATGTTGTCTTGATAGAAGCCTTTATCTTTTCTTGGGTCTGTATATTTTCCTGGGTTCATATTGGACGTGATATCCCACTTATAATTATGTACTGCTGGCTTGATGATTACTGACTCCTCGGTTCAAGTTGTCAGTGGTTCGAGGTATAACAGAAATATATATTGCGTATGAACTTGAACATACCTCTTCTTGACTACTAGCATATTCATAACCCAGCATTGGGTAACGATCTGTAGAAGAGAGGACATCATCTAATGCATACCACAGATTTGCTAAACAACCCTGTCTATGTGAAAACGAGAAAGGGATCTGATATCTCTTTTGAGTCCAGGTTGAAGGTGGAGAAATGAAGAATCAAATACCTAAAGCCATCACAGTTCTATTTAGCTCTACGAGAAGTGTCAATAGGGCTTGTAGCTCAGTGGTAGTAGCGCCCGCTTTGCATGCGGGAGGTCAGGGGTTCAATCCCCCTCGAGTCCACAGTCTTTTTTGTTTTTTTTGTTGTCCACCTGCACACAATATAAACAAGGACAATGAACGATGAGCAAATTAACACATGACGGTGTGGCCCACAGAGTGCAGAGTATGCATGAATCCATGTCAGCCATTCGTTGTGCAGATTTTGTGCGATTTGATGTAACTCAATTTCCTGACGCGTCTATCTGTATAGCATTATTCCACGCTTCATCGCGATGTCAACATGTTTCCCTGGAAATATGCAGTAAGCGGTCTTATTCTGGAGGTTGGATAGGATCCTAGTGAAGAATGACAGGGGGTAGGGTAGGCAAGGCAAAGTGTCGCGGAAGTAAACAAGAGAAGTGCATACATACATACACAAATGCCAAGATAAAAAAGAAAGATAAACAATATGTTCAAAAAAAGATAACTGTGGACTCGAGGGGGATTGAACCCCTGACCTCCTGCATGCAAAGCGGGCGCTACTACCACTGAGCTACAAGCCCTTTGTGCTTATATAATTATATATTTAAAGACTAAAGAAGCCAAAACGCTCAACTTTGTAACTTGCTAAAGCCTTCGAGTAAATAAGAATACTCCGCAAGTAGGATACGACATATCATATACTACGGTCATGTGGCTTGATTGACATATATGCCAGCCCACAACCCAAGGCATTCTACAATCGTATCTGATTGTATTATTTGAAAAGCTGACCATAACATAGTTATCCTCTTCTTTCCCTGCACACCTGTCCAACATTCTCATCCTGTTGCGAGTATCCCACGTTCAACATTGCTAGTGACTTTCTGTGAAAGACAGTTTGTAGATTGTATAACTAATGCAATCCAGCGCACAGCTGTATTCTGAATGTACCGGTGTCGGGTGATACTGTTCTTTCTTCATTCGCATCTTGACAGTAACTCAGCAAAAACAAGAACCTTTTCTTTTGTACAACGCTGATCTCAAAAGACACGTATAATGTCCACATAGACCCTAGGCATGAATGCCAGCCCTGCTTTCTCCTTCTTGGATGGATCATGGGCCTTTTTCTAGGTGAATCATGATCTGGATCCTTGCGTTAAGCCTGCCAAGGAATTGGTGTGAGGTAATAGTACTTAGATAGTCAAAGAGCTACTGCCCACCGAATATGATACCGACTGCATGAACCTAAACTGAGGTTGCTATCGAACCCAAGGCACTGATGCATCTCTAGACCGGTCTATTTTGTTGCCACCATCTGCCAACTTCCCCTTGCCTCCTGAACTATATCCGATCTACCGAGTATTAGCGGAAGTGGGAAATGCTCACATCCACAGCAGACCTTGGCTGACAAGGGTATGCCTTCCGTCGTCACCCAGTATGACAAACCCACTTTCATTTTTCATTTCTTTCACTTTCAATGATACACCAGCTCCCCAGATACCGGTATCGTCTACCGGTCCCGACTTACCAGGACTACAAAATTGTACACATGAGGACAGTGAGCCTGACATTATACAGGCTTTGAGTAGTATTACATATTTATCTTATCGACACCACTAGAATGGGTTATGGATTGGACGATCTAGAATAACTTATCCATACTACAATGCCCGTGTCTGGTAGCATACAGCTCGTGGCTTCTCAAACTAGGAAATCATGTGCTGTATTACCTACCATAGAACTCCAGACCAGGCCAGGCCTAGAACCCCAGTAGTGGCCATACGCTATCACTGGCAGGACGTGGCTCGTTCTACTACTGAGTATTAAATAATCTCCGCCATCTTGCCGGAATAGCGTCTTCCTCTGATATGAGCGCAGGGCCGGAATCCGCCTTACAAAAGATGTGGGAGAGCCCAAAGGACTCGGATAATTCTTATGAGACCAGGCTGTTAGTCTTCTTACCCACCAGTTACCGTAATGATATCAGTAAAGGCGTTGGGAAGTTTGGTGTTCTTCCTCTTTTCATTGTAGTACATTTTCATTGCGTCATATGGTATGAGCGGACTCCGTCAAACAGGATATCTCGCCCGAATCAGTGGCCCGGGGGACAGTCCCAATCCCCAGAGGCTAATACTCAACGGGCGTAGGAGGCTGTTGGCTTTCTGTGATTACACTGTGAAAGCAGGTACTCTGGAGTCATAGTACATCTGTACATACTTCGGACTTCTCAGCATTGAGCCTAGGTTTACCACCCGGTACAATCGCCTTGTAATGCCTGACTCGGGCTTGTGAAGATGAGCGGCGACCTCAGGGAGAACCAGCAAAAGAAAGAACAGAAAAATAGAACAAATTAAAGAGACGCTGTGATTGCCATCTAACACCGTGGTACTGGGGAGTTTACCAGTAGCTAATGATGTGGAAGCACTACCCTAACTTCGGTCCGATCCGAATAGCCAGGGCCCCAGTTAGTTTCCCTGGTACTATAAGTGCCCCCAATTGTTTTATTCCCCGGTATACTTCTTGCGTGCCAGTGATTCTCAAGAGGCAGTTTCCGTGGTGCGGTATAATGTTATTATCCGGTAGGAACAAAGTGCATGATCTCGAAGGTTTCCCCAGTGATACGACAACGGTATTGCCTCCCGTCTGCACCGCATGTGGAACGGGTGGTCGGAGGCACAGGAGAAAACTGCAGGGGCGTATTTCTGGTCAGAAGATCTCGAAGCGCATCATGCAATCAATCATCCTTGGATTTCCATGAAGGTAGGAGGATATATGCGGAGGTATACAGTTGTGTGGTCAACCAGCGATCTCCCGGATTACTCCGTGTTAGGATCTCTTTCAGTTGGTGGGTCGGAGAATATCGCAAGCCACACGGCCATTGCCTAGTACTAGTAGTATGGTCACGATCCCTTACATGGGTTGAATCAATTTACTGCCGTCTTACTCAGGGAGACCTCCATTGACTAACTAGTTAGTTATCGGTGAGAAGGTCGATAATTGTCGGCCTAAAGGTAGATCTGGGAAAGAAACGGTTACGACCCATTTTCGTTCCCCGGTCAGGCTGGTATCTCCAACAGTAACATAGTGGGGTTAGGCTGTGTTGTTTTTATTGTTATTATTATTATTATCGTGATTATTTTATCTGTTTGTTTCCATAGTACCTTCTTACAGTAGTCGATAGATCGGGTACTCGGGCGTTCAAGAGATCCAACTGTGCGGGGTTCATATTTCCTTTTCCTTTTTTTTCTTGTCTTTGGTCATTTTATTTTTATTTTCTATTTTTATTTATTTATTGAATTCCCCCCTCCCTCTATCTTTCATGTTTCAGTGCAACATTAACTACCATGATTTATTGATATGTCACTATATTTAGTCGCAACAATTGAGGGCTATGGTAACCCTATCGAGCCTGTATCAAAGTAAATAGAAAACTTAGATGGCTGATTTTTTTCTTTTCTTCCCCTTGGAGAGTTTAAAATTCCCAAGATGAGGCGATGAAGTCATTCACCCAATAAACATATGCTATCTAGAATTTTATTTTAATTTTGATCTTTGTTATCTTTGAATTTTTAAGGTAGTGTACCTACTGTTGTTAGTTAAGTAATTATGTGCAGTGTTCGTCATTAGGTACTATGAATCTGGACCGACAGTCAACTGTTCGTAGTTGTCTCTTGTTCTTTTGCTCCCGATGAATTGTTCTCTTCTTCTTCCTGGTGTTGTTGTTGTTGTTGTTGTCCCTATTGCTCATAATTTGGGAATCCAACAGAAAGAGAGAGAAAATAAAAAAAAATAAAAATGTAAAATAAAAATAAAAATTATAATTTTATTCCTGTCATTCTCCGCTATATGCACCGTAAGGAAATAATTGAACAATAGTAAGGCATCATTGATCAACAGTGCTCCAACTTCAGGAACTAACAAGCGTCAGCAACGTGGCTCCCTCGTTTCCACCGCATTCAACCCTTTGATCCATTCTCGTTCGTTGCCCTCCCACGGTTTCAACTCGACTCCCTGCGCCACGCGCATACCTTGTCTCTGGGCCCCGCCTTGTCGTGTACTTTGCCAATTTCCCAGTCGTTCCTTGATCGCAGACCCAGGTTTCTGGATGTCCGCTTGGCGTCATCTGCTATGTACACTGACCCCTCCCTTGACAATCCCCTCCTTCACCGGAGACTCTGATCACCTTACTTGACGATGATAATATTTCCTTCGTTGGGTTTCTTAATTCCGTGCCTCCCTTCCACCGAACTCCTTATCGTATGACCGCATCACCATTCTCCTGTTGATCGCTGGAAAGTTCTGCCTCGTGTTGTCGGTATTCGGTGTAAGCCCTAGGCGATCCCCGTCATTGATTGATAGGTCATACCCTGGTCCCCCAATCCGAGTAATAGCCATCAGCCACTGGAATGGGCCTTGCGATCTGGAGTACATATTGATGATTATATCGTTTCCTTTTCGATCTAGTCCGCTTTTCACCGTCTTCTTGTTTTCTTCCTATCGCAACGACAAACCCTCCCCGATTACCCTACTGTCCCCGGACCTGACCTGACCTGTCGTGTAACCGAGATAAAGCGGCATTGTCTACCTGTGATATATTTTTCTTCTTCTCATTCTCATTCTATTACGGACCGTGTCTCCGCATTGACTCAACACCACCATGGGATCTTACAGTGTATCTTCGCGACAGCACAGTGCGCGGACGGGAGGAAGTTCGAGCTCCACTTACAGTGATGCTTCCGATCGTTCGAAAAGCACGGCCCCTACGATCTACAGCGAACGGCCCACATCAAAGCGGAGAGAGAACAAAGACCCTAAAGATTCAGTATCAACCTACGCCTCGACCAACCACGACGATGAAATACCGAAGAAGCCGCATTATGAGGTTGTTACTCGCGGGGCCGAGTCGGATATTTTCCCTTCAGATGCGATTCCCTCGAATTCTTCAACCTTTGGGAAATTGTTCCCATCGTCGCGACGGCTTCTGATCGGGCATGATGATACGACGCTTGATGGAAACATGAACCTTCGCGTGCACACCCTGGCGCCACGAAGAGATGGCTATCAGCAGGCCGTTATACTTTTTCATCTCCGCATGTACGATTTGTACTCACGGGAGTTTTCTTTCCGACGGTACTGTCGCAATTCCGAGCGCGAGGTGTGTCACTCAGCAAGAAGACCGATATCGTCCGGAGGCCCAAACAAGCGTCCGGGATTCCAACGCTCCTTAAGCAGTGCATTAGCTGGCTTACGCCCAGGCTCGAGTGGTGATCATTCGACGCATGGCTCCAAGCGTAAGCGGCAGGACCTGGGGCAGAAGTCGGTTAAGGAGGACTACGAAGACTTCGATGGCCAGGACACCCGCAACCAACCCCTGGCCGACACGGTCATGCTGGAATTCTCGAATTACGCCCACGTCGAGATCCGCAGACGTGGCGCCGGCTTGTCTAAGCGATATGAGTTCGAATATTGGTGTACAAGATACCAGTGGAGGCGAGAACACCGAAGAGATGGGGACCTACAGGAGGTAGCTTTTCATCTGATTGACCTGCGAACATCCAAGACGATCGCCCACCTGATTCCCGAAATCCTGACCCCAATGGAAGCTGTGGAGGAGCAGGCTAAGGGTGGCTGGGTTCCTCCATCCTCCATGTGGATCAGCGAGGACTCCGTGTATGAAAAGATGCCAGATGTTGCCGAGTAAGTGATGCTTCGTGGAGTAAAAGATGAGCCGTGGGCAGTTACTAACCCGAAGTCCAGTATGATTGTGGTTACAGGATTGATGGTCTTAGTTGATGACTCTATCCGTCGCCGGTGGCACTCGAGGAAACATGGCCAGCTCATGTTCCCCGTGCGCGCCTCACTCACCCGGAGTATGGAGTTTATGGGACCTCGGCGGCTTCTGAGTGAGGTGTTCCATCGACGAGGCTCAGCATGAGCTCGAGTGGCACACGGCTCGGGGGCACGAGAGTCGTGGGGGGAGCCATGACGTGTTGTTGCCATGTCAGCTGAAAGCGTTGCACTTGCTGTATTCGCTTTTGCCTGATGCCAATGTTTCTGATGATCTTGATGAGCTTGCATATGACACGAACGTCTTCATTTTTCTTTCTCCTTTCTCTTTCGCCATGTTTCGCTTCTCCTCATCTTCTTGCTGGAATACTTGGTTTTGGGTTGATATCCTGGTGTATTTTTGTCATGCGTATGATTGGGCGGCAATGAAAACTCAAAGCGGCGTGACTTTAACTGTAGTGTGCGTTCCAAAGCGAATGGGAGGTTTATTGGATTGGATTTGGGTTACCGAGCTCGCTTGTGCATTTCGTCTTTCTTAATGCTTGTTCTCTGTGTGATTAACTTACTTAAAAACTTTGATTCTTTTTTTCTCTCCCGAAATAGCTATTCTTGGAATATCAACAGCATGCCTGGCTTCTTTTTGTGCGTGTGTGTATGTGTGTGGCTCCATCATCCTAGCGTTCATGCGTGTCGGGGGTTGGGGGGTATGCATGTACCCTGACCCTAACGGTTAGTTAGTCGTTTCGTACCAGTTTGTTGCCATGGTCTCTGAACGTTCACGCTTTCCTGACTTGTCCTCCTGTCTGTGCTGGAGCGAGTCAGGCCCCATGATGGTGGTCTCGGGACACAAGAGGAGGGGGAAATGAAGTACGATGTTCTGAATTGGGCGATTGCTACGGGGACTGGGTTGATTGGACCAGCATGGACGCCGCGGAAGACACGGAAGCTCGAGTTAGCGCTGGACTTGGGTGAAAGAAAGTCTGGACGAGGGTTCTAGCCTTTCGCTACCCGTGGGAGTGGACAGAGATCAATTAAGCTTGTCGATGAGGCCGATGCGGGGCAGATCGAGGCTCGTCCCAAACATGGCGCCGCGCGAATCAACGGCTTCCAGAGGATTCGAGGATGCGCTTCACCCTTTCCCCGTTGACGCCGATTATCAATCGCGCCTCCTTTTCATGCAGGTTCCTGAGGTGCGGACGTGCCGTCTCGACTGATTATTTATTAACCTCTGATTTCTATTTGTTGTTCCTTACCTTCGTTCGGCTGCAACTTTCATGGCGATAGTGGCCACAACCGTGGGAAATGAACAGATGCACGTATGTATGCCCAACAACATGGTGCCAGAGGAATGCAGCGAATCATGGCCCTTTCTCCACCGGGACTGGACTGGTACATTCGGACCCAATTCCTTCTTCGCTGGCCGCTTGTGCTTCCTGCAGATAGATCGTGTACGCGTTGGTCAACTGTTGAACTGGCTCTTGCTACCGTGATTTTGATATCGCGAGTCCGTGGTCTCTTGTGAACCTGCAACCCTGGCCCCCCCCGGGGGGGAGCAATTGTTCATGCACAGCGGCCTGGTCAATGGCTGTTTAGCGCAGGGCTGAGGAAGGAACGGGAATTTTTTCTTTCCTTTACTGAGCCGTTTCCGATTCCTGATTCCTGATTAAGTCATTGATGAGCTGGCACTGTGGCCTGTGGTCCCGCCTCCAGCTCTATGAGTGGCTCGAATACCCAGTTGACGTGAACCGATCCTGCTTTCAATTCGTTGCTTTTTTATCCTATGGGCCCCCCTCTCCGCTTTTGGGCAACGACCTTGGACCATACCCCTCCACCATCCATCCGTTCCAGAAAGGGGGGTTTTTCCCTCCCTTCCTGAGGAGCTTTCAGGAAGCAAACGGCCGGGTTTGTACCCGATAGTAAAACACAGTTTACCGGACAAGGGAAACAAAAAAAATAGCTAATTCAATGGCCACCATGGCACAACCCGGGAACAGATGAAGGGCTCTGACTTGTCCAACGTATCGGAAGTGGCACGTCGCTTTTGTACAACAAGTGTCTCGCTGGGCCTTTGCGTCAGTCCATGGATCTGGCGTGTGTGGAGACTAGTGGCCTTCTATCCTGGTACTCTGGCGTTTCTTCAAGGGTACATTCTCAGTCGGCGTGCGCCGGGCCGTTCCAGCTTGCAGCCTCAAGATGATCCGCATGTTCTCCATGCAACTGGCGTTTCTTAAGTGGAGGATAAGGGAGGTGGGAAATTTGCTGACGCTGTGCCATGTCCACAGCGACATGCATAAGCCCGCTTGTTAGGTTTATTGATTAGGTTCCGTGTTTGTCACGCCAAAAACTGTCTTGCACAGTGACGCTTTGGAGGGGGTATTTTTTTTTTCTCCCTCCCAATTTTTTTTCCCTTTTTTTAAAAGAAAGGAGCATGGCCCACAGTTTATATGACTCCCCGCCTCCCATATCTATCGAGACTGTTTGGATTGACAAGAGGATAAAGAAGGTCAACTGTTTAACAAGAGGGAAAACCAGAAAAAAGTTTTCCAACAAGTCAATTGGTTTCATTCTTCCTTTACGTATCTCCGTTTCTTGCGCAAAGGCAATCCGCACTCCACCCTGACCCGTGACCCCTGATCAGATTCTGGAGAGAACCAGTGTTTCGTGTCCCGGAGAAAAGCCAAAGAGTTCGACTCTGCAAAACGTACCCCGTCCCTCTGACAAGAGAACCGTGATTCAATATGCCAGTGCCGCCAGCAAATACTGCGAGTGCTCCTCGGACGACTTGGCAGCAACAACTTGAGGGTATGCCCCACTTTGCAGCAATTCCTTCCAAAGGATATCATTTCCTTCCATATGCTAATGGTCCCCGACAAGCGCACTGCGAGGCCCATAAACACTCCAAGCCCCTATTTCGCCTATTCACCGAACGACGAGGTATGATCTCCTTCCTTCCGTTGTCTTTCTCTTATACCCCTCTCCGCCGTTGTGTTCTGCTAGTATGAGAAGGCCCTCTTTGTTGTCGAATACTGTCTCGGCACGCACAGAGTGGAGTCGACTTCACCGACTTTTGCAATCGAAACTCAGTGGTACCATACACTAACGGGGTTGTCATTTTTTTCCCTCCAGGTGGTCGCACGGCTTGGACCTGCGTCGCCACAATCGACGGGGTGCAGTATCCGGCTCGATTTTGGTACGACGGCAAATACTCCGATAATGCCATAGAGGATGCTGCCGAAAAAGCCCTGAATATCCTCAGTCCTCAGACACCCCGTAATACCCGTTACTCGGGTCAAATTTACCCTTGACACGGCGGGTCGCTGAGCGAAACCCCTGCTTTTCTGGGTGGCTGTAACTTCCTTCTTTTTTGACGATGCTTCGACCTTGCTGTTCATTCCGGTTTTTCTTTCCCCTCTCCCTTCCTTCTTCCTCTTAGCTTCGAAAACGCTCTTCGAATTACCGCCGATCACTCGGGTTTCGCAGACGTGTATAACATTCCCGGCTGTCGACCTATGCGTTTCTGATTTTACAAAGCAGACATTTTGGCAACACCGAGGTGGGGGTTACGATTAGGGACATACAGAGTATTTGGATGCAGATGCCGCATTTCCCGGTGTGGTGTCACGACTCTGAGCACGAGAATGCTTGCAATTGATTTGCCCTGCTTCACTCGGCTGTCGTGTTGTAGCTTTCTTGAATCCTTTTTTCCAGGTGCAAGCTTTCTCACACGATGGTCCAGTTGACTGGTATGTTTGGGTGTGCTGGTATTATTCTTCTTCTTCTTCCTCCTCCTTCTTCTCCTTCTCCTTCTTTTCTTTTCGATTTAGCTTTTCTTATCTCCCTTGTTTCCCTTGTCTATTATACAAACGGTCCAGGTTGCGTATAGGTATTGTGGCACGATTATATTTCACGACAGACAAACAGACAAACAGACAAACAGACAGACAGACAAACAGACAGACAGACAGACAGACAGACAGATCAGATCAGATCAGATCAGATTCTACCTTATGACGAACAACAAACAAATTTGAATTTTTTTTCTTATTCTTCAATCGTCGTACTCTCTACAAATACACGCTTTCTCTCGTATTCTTTGCATCCCGGCTTTTTTCGTGTCCATTCCTCGTGGATAATAACCACAGCAGCAGACAAGCGAGTTTGATTCTTACCACAACGCAAGCACGGAGTATGCTTGTTTGCTGGGTCGGGAATCCGCGCGAGACAGACGATTAATTGCAGCTAGAGAGCTGACTTTTCTTAGGATTGAAAGCTTGTGTCTCCATTGCCTTCTTTTCTAGAATTGAGCTGTGCTCTCATTAGTGTTTACCTTGGGAGATCCCTAAGGTGGGCTAGAAGGTAATTCGGCCGTGGATCATTGCCGTCTTCTACCCCTCATTTTACTATTATTTATTATTTATTAATT